AGTGGACCATGGATACGTGACACTGGGTTAGTCTCCTGACTGGTTAAGCACAGTTCTGGGCATGGATGGTGGATTTACTGAAGAAAGAAGACCCACCCTGGTGTGGGTGGCACCAACAAGTAGGCTTGTAGCCTGATGGAAAAAAAAGGACAGAAGAAGGAAAGCTGCTGCCCGCTACCTGCCGTACCACAAATTCTTTCTCCTATGCCATGCTCTCCCTTGGAACCCGCCCAGCACAGACTGAAACCTCCACAAACTGTGAGCTATAATAAACCTTTCCTCCTCTAACTTGTGGGTTTTCCAGCAACGAGAAAAGTAATCAAGACAGTTACTATGAAAACAGCAAGGTAAGGGGAGTAGGAAGGGCTTGAGGAAGCGGGTAGATGGTGGAAGGCTGAGGACAGCTTGCAGTTTTGACTCTGTTATTTGCCCGCTTGGGCATTCTTTTTTGAGCTAGGAAGAAAGTGGTAATACAGAGTACTTTTAGGAAACATCCAAAAATTTAGAAAGAGCTTTAGAAATAGAGATCTGATGACTGAATCTTTAATCAATAAAAGTGGAAGATCAAACTGAGAGAACATCTTGGGAACTAGAACGAAAAGACAGATTCAAGCCAGGCGTGGTGGGGCACGCCTGTAATCCCAGCTCTTGGGAGGCTGAGGCAGGAGGATCATTGTGAATTCCAGACCCGCCTAGGCTACAGAATGAGCTCAAGGTGGTAGCACCCAAAACTTGTATGTCTATCTGCTGAGTCACAGAGCTCCCTCCAGACTGGTTGAACTGCTTGTCCTTCCGCTGGACAGCCTGGGGCACAATTGTCACTCATGTCAGAAATCTTCCAGTGGAGTTTCTCCAACAGCTTGTCGAGAAGGTTGCATGGGAAAGAATTTTGGGGTCTTATAAGTCTGAAGCGTTTTTGTCCAAACACTTTCAAATATTCATACCTGGTTGATGACTGCAGTGAGAATAAAATTCTAGATAACAAATCATTTAGTCCAGACATTTGAAGCTATTAGGTCATCTGGCTCTTGGTGTTGCTATGAGAAGTCTGAAACAGTTCTGATTCTTTTTTTTTTTTGTGAGACAAGGTCTCACTCTGTAGTGCAACCTAACCTCGAACACACTATGTAGCCCAGACTAGCCTTGAACCCGCAGCCTCCCTACTTCTGGTATTACAAGCTTGTGCCAGCATACCAGGTCTTAGCTGTTCTGACTTTGTTTTTTCTATCTGGAAGAGTATAGAATCTCCTCCCCCTCAGTGTTCTGACATCTTGTAGTACTGTGCCTTAATGTGGGTCTATTTTCATCCATCATGCTCAGTGCTTGCTAGACTCCTTCAGTATGGAAACTTGCGTTCTGCAGAATTCCTTGTATTTACCATTAATGATCTCTCCCTCATTCTCTGTTCTCTTTTTATAGAACCCCTGAATCTTATTCTGATGTTTTTGTTTGTTTGTTTGTTTGTTTGTTTTGGTTTTTTTTTGGTTTTTCTCCGGTACCGGGAACCAAACTCACGACCTTGCGCTTGCCAGGCAGGCACTTTGCTGCTGAGCTAAATCCCCAGCCCCTCTTATTCTGATGTTGGATCTCCTGGACTGGATTTCCATGTGTGTTTTCCTTCTTTTTTTTGGACAGGGTCTCGCTATGCAATTCAGGCAGGCCTTGAGCTCACTTTGTAGCCTAGGCTGGTCTCAAACTCACAGTGATCCTCCTGCCTCAGCCTCCCAAGAGCTGGGATTACAGGCGTGCGCCACCACGCCTGGCTTGAATCTGTCTTTTTGTTCTAATTCCCAAGATGTTCTCTCAATTTGATCTTCCAACTTTTATTGATTAAAAAAGATTCAGTCATCAGATCTCTATTTCTAAAGCTCTTTCTAAATTTTTGGATATTTCCTAATAGTACTCTGTATTGCCACCCAAGGATGCAATCATTATTTCTCTGAGGATAAAATGCTTTAAAAAAAAAAAAAAAAAAAAAAGGAAAAACAAAATACTCTCTCCAACAGTGTCTATTTTTTCCGGGTTGCTCTTGTCTTATTAGTTTTGGTCTCTGTCTTCCACATCAAGGTTTCCCTCAGATGTGAGGTGTTCCTCGCTCTCCATGCAAGGCTAAGAAGTTAACTGGCAGCTTTGAGCACATGTGGGGGTGTCCGCCCGGAGAGTCACTACAGGGTGATCTTGTAGCTGTGGTCTGGGAAACCCAGTATCCTACTATTTTTAAGTCTTTCTTTTAAGCTAATCATCTTTCAGTGCCCTCCCTGGAGGGAGAGGGTTTGGTTGCCTGAGTACCAGGAAACAAAATTAGGAGCGAGGGCTGGGGCCAGGTGGGCGTGCTTTCCACATTCAGCACACATTTGTTCCTCCACTGCTCCTTTTCTATGCAACACCCGTGTCCTCAGTTGTGCCTGGTGTCCGCCAATCAGAGAGGCTGTTTTCCCCCACTGCAAAGAACCTTCCAGATTTCTTCCGGAGTGGGAGCTGGTATGTGTGAAGTGGAAGAAGGGATCTAAGAATCTAACTGCTTCCTAAATAGCTCCCCTCATCACTCTTTATTTTAGCACCACCCCCACCCCCACCCCTTCCCCAGCAGAGGGACCCGAAGCTGCCAGTTTCTTTGTCTCTGGCAGGGTCCCCCCATCAATCACACTGGTGCTCAGCCTTCCCACGGTGGCCTTGGACTTGGCTTTCCCAGGCTGCCAAGTCAGTCACCACCAACCTCCACTTCTCCCGGCTGTGGTTTCTCATCCTGTTTTTCTGTACAGTGTGGGTTTGTGCCTCTCTCTCTTTCTCTCTCCCTTTCTCCCTCCCTTTCTCCCTCCCTCTCTCTCCTTCCCCCTTCACTCCTCTCTCCCCCTCTCCCCTCGCCTCTTTCCCCCTCTTTCCCTCTCTTCTCTCATCTCCCTCTCTCCCTCCACCCCTGCTGTTTCTCAATTTGATCTTAAATTCTCTTCCAGAAGTTCTAGTGGGGTTTCAGGAGAGAGCAAAATTAGATGCGTATGTTCAATCTGTCGCTGTAACCTGAACTCTCCCCTAAACTTCTGAAATCCAATCTGTTCCTTAAAATGTGGTGTGGGAGTGCTCTGCAGAGCTAAAGAATTCCTCAGTTTAATTTATTCCACAGACTCTGCTGCCTGTGATCAAGGGCTCTGCTGGAATCTGGGGTACGGATGTGGTCTCCCTGCTCACAGACCACTTAAGCAGGAGGGATGAACACACTCAAGGGAACACAGTACAACCCCACAGTCTCTCACCCCAGATCCTTGAAGTCAGATGGGTTTGGGGTTTGAGAAGTTACCAGATTTCAGAAAGGCAATCAAGGGCCCATACCTGACTCATGGTTCTTAGGGCACCTCAGCGGGGCCGCAACACTTAGGGTGTCAAACACACTCAAATTGCTTCAGGGAAATGTATGGATACTCAGAGCACATGGAGTTAAAAGGAAGTTTAAAACCACACATCCATTCAGGACGTGTTTTTAAGCAAACTGAGCTAACAAACCAACCTAGTTTTCAGTTTTGGGATTATTGAGTTGCTGGTAAGGGCTGTGAACCTCTTTAAGTCTGCTTGTTGCTATAACAAAACACATTCTACCGAGTAACTTATAAACAATAGAATGGATCTCTCACAGCGCCGAGGCTGGGAACTCCAGGAGTAAGGTGCCTGCAGACTCAGTATCTGGTGAGAGCTGTTTCCTGCTCTCTGGATGGTGCCTCGTTGCTTCCTGAGTACCTAGGGGAAGGGGTGGGCAACGCCCTATACATCTCTTTTTTGGTACCAGGAATTGAACTCAGGATCTCATGCTTGCCAGGCAAGCACTAAGCCACTGAGCTATATCCCTGCCCCTTTCCCTATATATCTTTTATTCATTATTTTTTTAGTCCTGAGGATTGAACTCAGGCCCTTGCACATGCTGGGTAAGTGCTCCACCACCAAGCTACATCCTCAACCCATTTTTAAAAACTTTTTTTTTAAAATTTTGAGACAGTGTCTTGCTAAGTTACCCTGACTGGCCTCAAACTTGCAATCTTCTTGCATCCACCTCCCAAGTAGCTGGGATTACAGTCATGTGCCACTGTGCCTGGCTCACACATTTTTTGTAAGGTCACCAACTGTATTCATAAAGGCTCCAGTCTCATAAAGTAATCACCTCCTTAAGGCACCACCTCTTAATGTCATCCCACTACCAATTAATTATCAACATAGGAATACGTATGCAGTGTATTCAGTATAAAAATGAAGTCTGCACAAAGTACTGTGGGGAGTGCAGTAACAGACGAGAGGGAGGGGGAACGGCTTCATGGAGGAGAGGATATCTGAGCCAGACGTTAGTAGCTGAATAGGCGCTCACCAGACGGGAAAGAGAGTTATAGGCAGAGTAAGTAGCTCAAGCAAAGGCCCAGAGGTCTGATCCGGGAAAGTATGTCGCTTCATGTCTTGCTCCTGAGAAGCAAACACTAGGCAGCTTAGTGTAGGTTCTTGAGCCAGAGCTCTTCCTCAACAGGATGAATCCACTTCCTCCAACCAAAGGTTGAACTTGGAATGGTGAGAAAAATAGGGCTGCAGAGATTGGCAGGAGCCAGTCATACAGACACAGAGCTCTGTATTTTTGTTTGTTTGTTTTCTTTTGCCTTTCTGAAACAGGGCTTTACTATGCAATTCAGGCTGACCTTGAACTCACTTTGTATTTCAGGCTGGTTTTGAACTCTCAGCTATCCTCCTGCCTCAGCCTCCTGAGCGCTGATATTACAGGTATGTACCACCACCAGTGAGAGAGAGAGCTCTCTGGGAACACCAAGAAGTTTGGGCATCATTTCTCAGAATGTGGGCTCCAAACTCTTTTAAGGACTCCAGGAGGTCAAAATCATTTTAAAAAACAATGCTAACATACTACTTTATTGAGGGGCTGGGAAATTAGCTCAGCAGCACAGCGCTTGCCTGGCAAGCACGAGGTCATTAGTTCGATTCCGGGTACTGGAAAAAAAAACAAAACACAACCCACATTCACCATATTACTTTATTGAGATTTATAATGAGGACACAAAAGCAAAGCGGGGGGGGGTTTAGATAAGAACATACACAATGAAATAGTAAAGTCATTACTTTAATTAATATCCTTGATCCTTGAGAATACACTTTCTAACATTCTGCACGAGGAAATGAGGATTCATGAGGCCATGCCGTTTCCTACCAGAGCACCTTGGTTTTCACTTGGAAAAGTACTTGGGCAGTGGTTTGAGCTGCAGGTGAAACCAGACATTGTTCATGGAATACCACTTTTACTTGAAGGAATAACTGCTCCCTGGAAATTATGGTTATTCACTTTGGGTATTTGGTAGGTATTTTCTTAAAAAATAAATGCAGTGAGCTTGTCACTTCCTGAAAAACAACTGACAGTATTTATTGCCAATGAAAAAGATCTGAGCTTTTGAGGAAAAAATGAAAATGTTGGAAAATTTACACCAGGGTTTGTCATCAGTGGTAATTCAATGATACCACTAATGATATTCTTTGACACTCAACAGTGCTATGAAATGTGTCAATGTTAGGAGGATCTGCATAAGGTGGTGACCCAACATATTCCACAGGATGTTGCAAAATCATGCAGGGGATGGATGAAATATCCACTCTAAATGTGAAAGAAATGGATTTCAATGTAACAGAGTAAAAATGTTCATTGATACTGAAACCACGTTCCACATGGCAACTCATCTTTAAAAAACTACTGCTTGTTGGGTTTTGGTGTGGCATTAAAGAAACTATTCACCATTATCTGAAAGAGGTTAAAGTACTCCTCCTTTTTTGCAAGCATATACTTGTATGAGGTCTGATTTTCTTCATACGCTTCAATCCAAACAATACATTGCAACAGCTTGATTACAGAAGCAGAGCTGAGAATCAAACTGCGTTCTACTTAAGCCAGACAATAAGAGGATTTGCAGAACTGCAGAACAATACCACGTTGCTCACAAAGTATTTTGCTCACAAAAGTCTTGGGAAACTTAGCTATTTTTCAGAGGAAAAAAATCCACTTGTAATGGGTCTGCTTTCCATTTTACGATTAATAAGTATTTTTAAATATTCTCACTTTTCATTTCTAACCTGGTAACCTTTGATAGATATGACCAACATATAGAAGAGCTCTTTGGGGTCCTCCAGGACTTTTAAGACTGCAAAGACGATCTGAGACCAAATCAGTTCGAGAGCCATTACTACCAAGAAGAGCTGGGCAGAACTGAACTAGAGGAGAGATTGTGTTTTGGAAAGCTCTTTCTAAAAGCAGGTTGCAGTGACCCAATCAGGGAGTAAGATGTGCTGAGAAGAGAACAGAAGGGGCAACAGGGACAGGAAAAGAGAAAATTTTTGCAAGGAACACCCCAGAAGCAGAAACGACAAGGCTTGTTGATAACCTACCCTCCCTCACCCACCCACCTGCCGCTTCCTCACAGCACTGATATTCCTTGTAGCGCTGGCTGTCCTGTCTAACGGAATGAGCTGAATGTGTCTCCCCAAGTGGGCCCTTGCATTCTCTCAGCTCAGACTTGTACTTTATACTCTTCTCCATCTGGAGGAAAAAACAAACAAACAAAAAAATAAAAAAAAAAAAAAATAAAGAGCAACTCCATTTTTAGGAGTAGGCCCCAGACCTTGCAGGAATGAAACCAAGTAGCAAATGCTGTCAGTCCCATCGCTAATATGTTTCCACGTCATCCAGGTGCGCCCATCTACCATCCTCTCCCTTGCTCACCTCCTTCAGTCACACTGGCTTTGTCGAGGCTCGGCTGTGCTAAGCATATTCCCACCCCGGCCATCACACTGGCTGTGCCCTCTGCCTGTATTGCTCTTTCCCCTGGGTAGCTACGTGGCCTTGGAAATCTTGTTCAAACTTGTCCTTACTTGACAGAGCTCATTGCATCTCTCTGCAAACCATTTCCCTTGCTGTACCTACATGTTTTCCCCTTATTACTACTGCTTTTTTTATTTGTTTGTTTTTGTTTTTTTGAACAGGGTCTCACTGCCTAGTGCAGGCTGGCCTTGAACTCACTATACAGCCCAAGCTGGCCTCGAACTTGTGGCGATCCTCCTGCCTCAGCCTCCTGAGTGCTGGGATTACACGCATGTGCCACCACACCTGGCTTCTTACTGTGATTTTTTTTCACTCATCTCTTGTTGCATATTGTTTCCCTGCAGCAGTATGTCAGTTCTTACAAATCACAGATGCTTAAAGGCTGTCTGTTCTCCAACACCTAGAATGGGACCTGGCCCAGGGTAAACACTCAACATTTATTCATTGAATACATGAATGAATGATTTGGCACCTACATAAGTTTTTATTTAGAATAAAGTTTGGAAACCACTATTTCCTCAGCAAAACAGTCTGTCTGACACAATCCCTGGTGGTGCCTGGTGTAACAGCTAACTTACTAAGCTCTTCCTTAGTGCTACCCCAAGCGTTTGCTCAGGCATGTTCTTATTACTCTTTCTAGCAATCTACAAAGCAGAAACCATTATCCCCATTTTACCGATGAGCAAACTGAGGCAAAGAGAGACTGAGTAACTTGCTCAGGATCATACATCTAGTTAGTATTAGAGCAAGAGTTTAAACCAAGCAGTTTGGCCAAATGATCCACATTCCTAACCGTCAGTCGTGATGTATGGGTCTGGGAGGAATGTAAATATCAGCACGGAGAGGTTGCGCTAGGATCTCTAAGTGCTTCCAGTTCTGCAGGTCCCTGACTTTGAGGTTCAACCTATTTATAGTATTCATTGACCACTGACTAGTTAGCTAATTAATTTATCAAACATATTTGGTGCCTGGTTAGAACATGCCAAGTGGTGGGCCAGGCATTTCCCACAAGCCTTCTTCACTCCTGAGAAACAGCAGTTATGATGTCCATCTTACTGCTCACGGAGGGTGCAGAACCTACCCAGGGTGAAGAACAAGAGCGCTCTCAGGTCTGCTTCTTCCCGAAGCTCAGCCGCCTTCCGGGTCCCCAGCTTGCTTGCTCCTAGGGAGGCAGGGCTTTCGGGCCTCTGGTAGGAGAAGTCCTGAGGAACTCACTGGGAGGTACGCAGGATGGGGACAGGGTGCAGTTTCTAGTCCTCCTGGGTGCTGTCCTTGTACTAGGAAGGTGTCAGCTTAGTCCAGAAAACCTGGTTGGGAGCCTAGAAAAGGAATAACTCTTACTAAAGGCCTTTATTTTATTTTATTTTTGGTACCGGAAATCGAACTCATGACGTCTCGCTAGGCAGGTGCTGTTCCGCTGAGCTACATTCCGGCCCTATTAAAACCCTTTAATCTTTTTTTTTTCCTTGTCTTTTTGAGACAGGGCTTCACTATGCAGTTCAGGCTGGCTGCAAATTCGCAGCAATGGTCCTGCCTCAGCCTCCTGAGTTCTGGGATATCAGGCGTGCACCACCACGCCCAGCAAAGCCCTTTAGTCTTTTTTTTTTTTTTTTTCTGGTACTGGGAATCAAATTCATGACCTCACGCTTGCCAGGCAGGCGCTGTGCCGCTGAGCTAAATCCCCAGTCCCATTTTTTTTTTGTCTTTTTGAGACAGGGTCTCGCTGTGCAGTTCAAGCTGGCCTCACGCTCACCTTGTAGCCCAGGGTGGCCTCGAGCTCATAACGATCCTCCTGCCTCAGCCTCCCGAGTGTTGGGATTACAGGCGTGCACCACCACAGCCGGCTAAAGCCCTTTAATCTGGACCTTCTCTTCCCTCCAGGCTGCTGGGGCACTGTCAACTACGGCGACATAATTTATGTTTCTGGTCCCTAGGTAATGGACCAGCAGGAGCCTTTGACATCGGCCTACATAGTCCTAAGGACACTTTGCAAGTCGGCATCCCAGAGCGGTCTGAAGAGGCTCAGAAAAGCTCCCTCGGCTACAGCAGGCAAAAGGGCCCAGGTGCAACGAGATCAAATCGAAAGACTCTTCTGCAGGCCCCTGCGGGGGAGGTTGCGATTGGAGCCTGGCTCCAAGGAACTCAGGCCCGCCTGGAAACAAGGCAGGGTCACGTGACACCCCGCCCCCACCCCGGCGGGCAGTGCAAATGGAGTCACAGGCACTGCAATAGCCCGGATTGCAACCGCTCGAGGTCCCCACCCATTCCGTGGCAGGAAGTCCAGTGTTTTCCTAGGGTTTTCCAAGAACGCCCAGAGTGCCGGGCCCGGCCGCGGACTGCTCAGGAAGCCCGGCTGCGCCCCCTGCAGGCGCTTCCCCGCCGGTTCCTGGCTCCGGGTCCCGCCGCGGAGACGTGGCCGGGGCCTCCTTCGCGGTCCGGATTGGGAAGCCAGCGGGCAGGAAGCGCTCCTAAAGCTATCTTTGGACGGGAGAGGGAGAAGAAAACGTCATCCTTTTGTGCTAGCGAGTCCCACCGCGAGCGTCCCCAAAGATCACAGCTCAGTAAAGCACCCCCTCTCCCGCTTAAGGGACCCGAGACCAGCGATCTCCATGCACGGCGGCTCTCAGAGTGAACAGGAGGGGCATGGGAGAGAATATGCACCAATTTTTTGCATTGCTTGTAGCTCCATGCAATACCCACATGCTCCTCTCTTTGATCCTCACGATAACCAGGAGGCCGACACTGTTATTATCTCCCTTTCAGTCGCAAAACGGAGGCCTAGCGAGGTTAAGTAACTTGTCCGTTGTCGAAAAGGTAGTGGTGGCAGAGTGGGATTCAAATCTAGGTCATCGGCGTGGGCCCAGAGTCCTCCCCCTATACTGTGCAGGGCCATGAGGAGGCCCGCTGGCCTGAGTCACCCCGGGAGGGGTGTCGGGGAGAAAAGCCAGCAGGGACAGGGCTCCGATGACTCTTTTATGTGCTGACTTGGCTGGGCTATGGTCTCTAGGCATTTGCTCAAACACTAATCCAGACGGTACTTGAAGGCATTAGTGGATGTGATTACTTTATCAGTTTAGTTTAACTAAGGAAGATTATCCTGGATAATCTCAGTGGGTTTCATTCCATCAGTTGAGTGACTCTTAGACCTGAGGCTCCTCCTCCTCAGAAGAAAGTCTGCCTGTGGTGTCTTTGGGGTTTGGTTCCAGGACCCCCAGAGATATCACAATCAGTGGATACTCAAGTTCCTTATGTAAAATGGCACATCATTGGCATATAACCCATGCACATTCTTATAATTTAAGCAATTTTTTTGTTTTGTTTTGTTTTGTTTTCCGGTACCGGGAATCAAACTCACGACTTTGCACTTGCTAGGCAAGCACTGTGCCGCTGAGCTAAATCCCTAACCCCCAATTTAAACAATCTTTAGATTACTTATAATACCTTCAATATAATGTAAATGCTGTGTAAATAGTTGTTGTACCATATTATTTAGGCAAGAATGAGAAGAAAAATGTACATGGCCAGGGCAGACACAATTCTTTTCAAATATTTTTAATTTCTAGTTGGTTGACGGGCCGGGGATATAGCTCAGTGGTATAAGAACCTGGCTGGTGATAGCAGGGTCCCGAGTTCGATCCCCGGTTCCAAAAGCAAGAGAAGTTGGTAATCTGGAAAGATTCTAGTTGGTTGACTGTGGATATGGCACCCACTGATACATAGAGCCGAGCATACCTGTATCTATATCATCTATAGCTAGGTCACCTATATCTGTACCTATACTTGTATCTGTTATGTGTCAGTATCTGTAGCTATTTTGCAGATTCTGTATCTCCAGTTTCTCAAATTGAACCCTGACTGATGCTGTGGACACTGCTGGGGAAGTTAGCGACACCCCACCCTAGGACTTGGTCCAAGGTAAGTCCCTTGTGAGTCCCTGCCAATGGCCAGCTGCAATCCTAGGAAGAGTGGGGAAGTTCCAGATTGACTGAAATTGTGTTTCCATCACCAACAGGAATGAAGACCAAGAAAGAAATTTCCTTCAGATATTTTGTGAAGGAAGAAATGACGTTTTTGCACCATCAGGCTTATGGTACAAGATTAGTACACTATTGTAGCCCTTGGAATATAAGACTAATTTGTCACCAAGGCACATAAATGTGGGTCTCTCAATATCTCTCTAAATATTCTTTAGAATATTTCTATTGATGAATTATTAATTTTATGAGTTTTATTATACTAAAAAATGAATACTTAACAGGAAAAAAATCACAAAAATAAAGTATTGAGTTTTTAATACTGATATTTATAAAAAAGCATATAATATTTGTATAATATTTAGGTTTATAAAAAAAGCATGAAAATTTTCAACATCGACTGGTTTTTGGTGTGCAAAGTCTAAAAAAGAACATCAGAAATAAATTCCCATATGAACTATGATGAAAATATCAATAGCACTTCACAAAAAATAATCTTTACTTCAATTCTCACACCTGAGGTAGTCTGCACACATGACAGCAGGACTTTCCATACACATGCATCACTTACACTGACCGCACATGTGTTTTACTTTCCTGGCCTTTTTGCAAGCCATACTTGACATCTCAGTGGTCTTGCTGTTTTGTCAGGAGTTTCTTATTATATATACTGTGTGTAGTTAACAGGAATATAAAGGTTCAATAAAATAAACTATTAAATTCTTATGTACTGTGCATTTAGAATAGACATCAACATTTTCACATCAGCTGTGTACCTCCTTACAAAACCTAAAAGATAATATCAGAAATAAATTTCTATATGAACTACAGTGTAAACATAAATGGAACTCTCTACTACAAAAATAAACTTTGGTTCAATTGTCACACCCAAGGCAGTCTTCACACAAGACAACTGCACATTCCATGCACACATCTCACACTGACAGCACATATCTTTTGCTTTTCTGGCGTTTTTGTAGGACATACTTGACATCCCAGTGTTCTTGCTATTTTTTCAGAGGGTTCTTATATAGTGTGTAGTTAACAGGAACATAAAATATCCATAAAATAAATTATTAAATTCTTAATATGTATTGTGCATTTAGAATGGGCATCAACATTTTCATATCAGCTGTGTAGTTCCTTACAAAGCCTAAAAGATAACATTAGAAATAAATTCCTGTATGAATTCCAATGAAAATACCAGTAGAACGCTACCACAAAAACAAGCTGTGCTTGAACTGTCACACCCAAAAGAGTCTTCACACATGACAACTGCATGTTCCATGCACATGTCTCGCTTACACTGACAGCACTTGTGCTTAGCTTTCCTTTCCTATGTGGCAGTCTTGTCACCTTGCTTCTTTTCCTGTTTTGTCAGGAGCTTCCTACTATATTGTATAACATCCACTTAGTAGGGAAATTAGATGCCAATAAAATACAATAGCAAACGTGTAATGAGTGCTTAGGATAGACATCAACATTTTCACATCAGCTGTTTACTTGCTTACAAAACCTAAAAGATAACATCAAAAATAGAAACCTATGTGAACTACAGAGTAAACATAGACAAAAGTCTACTACAGAAATAAGCTTTGCTTCAAATGTCATACCCAAGGCAGTCTTCACACATGACAACTACATGTTCCATACACAAGTATTGCTTACACTAATAGTATGTATGTTTTGTTTTCTTGTGCTTTTTTCCCCCTGTATTTTCTTTTTTTTTTTTTTTCTCTGTACTTTCTTATAGGCCACAGTTAACGTCATTTTATTTTGCTGTTGTCATAGTAGGTCTTTGTGATGCTGTGCCTGCCTGTTCACCTGTCAGCTCACCAGTGTGCTCATAATTATTTTGAATAGTTCCCTGGGCAGAAACATTTTGTTTTTCCTCTGCTGTAAATAATCCCTTATGAGCTGCAGTCTCAGTCCTCTAAGAAAATATCTCCATGACATGTTGCACTTGTTTTTCTTTGTAATTTTCTTTCCAGTTTTTCCTCTTGTAATTGTCTTTGTAAATTATCAAACTCTTTATGCCATTCAGTTTATTACTATATGAATAAGGATCTAATGGCTGAGATTCAGGATAAGTGTCTAAACTGAAAGAATAATAAGTCTTCTCATCTACAAGGGCATATATTTTTATGCCATATTTTGACTTTTCTATAAGTCTTCTACATTCCTGAGAAATCACCATGAGTAGTTTGTGCTAAGTACAGCAGCCCTATGAATGCTTTCAGTTCAGCTAGTGAGGTGTCATACTAAATACATTTTGAATATGGCTATTGGTGCCTACAGAGCTTGCATTTCAGCTTTCTCATATTTCACAGCATCTTGTAGCATTTCGTTTGTTACAGTTTCCAGCATTGAATGGCAGTGCTGGCATTCTGTTCAATATTTTTTTTTTTTTGTTTTTGTTTTTTTGTCTTTTTGAGACAGGGTCTTGCTATGCAGTTCAGGCTGGCCTTGAGCTCACTTTGTAGCCTAGGCTGGTCTTGAACTCACAACAATCCTCCTGCCTCAGCATCCCGAGTGCTGGGATTACAGGCATGTGCCACCACACCCGGTTGATTTTATTTTATTTTATTTTATTTTATTTTTTGTCTGTCCAATATATTTCATCACTGCCAAGAACTTCACTACATTTTGGGACTTAGTTCTAACACTGGATTGTTCCATTTACTGCATGGCCATTTTGCAACATTTTGACTATTCAAATATGTATCTATATTGCTGTTTTCTTCGTCATCTGAGTCAAGGAGGTCTGCATTCCCTGTGTCTGTATGTCAATTCTTGCTCTATTTCACTGTCACAGGAACTTCGGCTCACATGACCAACATCAAAGTCATCATCATCATAAACTCACATCACTCTTCCGTTTTGAAAGCAGGTATCTTACCATAAAGGATCATCTTCATCAACCATGCATGAGTAATCTGATGATTCACTTTTGACCTCCTCCAAAACTTGCAGATTTGGTTTTTCACATGCCACTGTACTGAACTGGGTTATTTCTACCAGAAAAATCAGAAGAAAAGTTTTTAAAAAAAAAAATTCTGGAATGATGTGGGTCTATTAGACCCTCTGTGATGCTGGGGTAAACAAATGGAAAACAAGTTATCTAGAACA